GATCACTGGTTTATTGTTTGAACCGATTCAACCACTTTTAAAAACCAGAAGACGATATAATGAATTAATTTAATATTTGTAATAATATAATACATTAAATACTAAAACATTTGGTTGCAAATTAAGTATTATATTAAATTTCTAAGTAATTTTCTTACTAAACTAAATTAAGGGGGTCATAACATAATTTTCTAAACTTCAATAAAATACCCTAACTTCCCACCGCCTTCCTCAGCCGCCAAACCCACATTTCTTTCTCCTCTTCCTAGTTCGCACAACACCTCCTCTTCAAATCAGCCCCATGTTCTTCATCCTTCTGATTTCTTCTTGTTGCCGCATGCTTCTGTCATGCATTATTTTCTCCTTCTTCTCTTCTTCCTTGTTGACTTCTTTGTGTTGTTTCCCTGTTGTTCGCCTCTCAGCCGAAGCAGCCAAAAAAAACAAACAAAAAGGACAGCTTTCTGGATGCCATCTCCTCCAAGTTTCACATGTCCTTTTTTCATCTCTTTTTAATTTTCTTTGAATTTGAATAATTGCTCTAGTTCCTGTGTAACCAATAGGATCACATGATCCTACCCACATCGATCGTAGTTGGTGTTTTTCCGTCGGTTATCCGAAATATTGAAATGTGAATATGTGCGAAAGTAATTTAACTTAAATAACCATTTGACTGTAAATAACCGCGGTAAATATATACACCAATAAGAAAATGACATGTGTTTAGTAAATCTATTAATGGTCTAATTGATTGACACTTGTCTTTTTTTTAAAATTTTCTTTAATATATATAGAGATTTATTCAAAACGATCAATTTCAACACTTCAATTGTAGAGAAAAAAAATGACCAGACCAAAGCAATACAAAAAATAACATGCATTTCAATATATTTTACTTTTTTCCAATCTAAATATTCATTATTATGAATTTGTACTATTTTTCCCATAACAAACTTATCATTCGAAATTCGTCCATTTTCTGGTGTTCCATAGAAACTTAAGACAAGAAGTTATGTCGCAACTTGGCTATGGATAGCATGTAAGTGAGTCCTGTGATCGAATCCTCCAACTCCTTAATTTATTTACATTTTCAAATGGGATTTACCTTAAAAGCCATTATAAACCATAAGTGGTTGTAAACCAAAACCAATCCACGATGAGGGGGTCATAGATAAGGCTACATATGTAGGTTGATTTGGTATTTTAGTTCACAATTTTTGGCGTGTCATAGTGTCTTTCACTTGTTTTTTATTTTTGAAAAGAATTTTTATAATATGTGAACAAATTAAAAATCCCTTGAGTTCTCGATTTTCATCATGCATTTATCATAATCTATACTCTGTAGCAGTGGTTTGATTTGAATGTTAATGATCAGCCGAACCCTTCTTCTTGACTTTCATTTAGTTTTTTTCACCAGAGTAATCAATTACAGTACATCCCTAAAAGGACACGATGAGATGACTAATCTCAATCCAACATTAGACAAAAGAATGGATAAGGTACACTAGCTTTATATCATAATTAAAATTTTTTTATAAATTTTTTTTAGGAGAACCAGGACGGTACCTGGCGGGCATCCCCCGATTTTATTAATATAGTGAAAAGAATTACATAGACAGTGCTTAAGATTTTCCAAAAGAAGATACTATCGTACAAAGATTTCTTAAAATCCCATGACAGCTCTAGTTTCAAAAAACTTAGAAAATGCCTTACAAAGATTATACTAAAATCCCATGGCATCTCTATATTCGAACATTTTAACTAAGAGCCAGCCTTACAAAGGTTTACACACAAACCCCATGACTTCTCTTTTTTCTTCTTTAACTTAACTATTCAAATTTATTACATTACATTAAAAGAAAAACTATCTACTCCTCAAATATGGAAAGAAGCACTTATCTGAATACCCCTTACCTCTTAATAAGCCTGGGAGTTCATTCTACGAGTTATATTGAGTAGTGACTCCTCTGGAAGATTGTTTTGCCAAAGCATCTGCCACGCTGTTCATCTCTCAATAGACATGGACTATTTTTGAATTTGAGGCAGTTAACATTCTTTGTATCTGCCGAAGCCTTGACTTGTAACGCGAAAGAAAAACATCATTCCTTTGAAGAATTTGCACTATTGCATGGCTATCTGTTTGGACAGTTAAATACCCCTTTGAACTTGAAAGCAAGTGAAAGACACTTGTCTTGGAGTTGAAAAGCCAGCTTTATCAACATATATACCTCATGTGCTACTCCTCTCATTACCAATTGGTTTTGAGGTAGAACCACATGTGGGCTTATATTTGGGCCTTCAAGATGGTATCAGAGCAGGTTTTAATTTTGTGGACTTGTGGGTGGACTTGACTGGCTCGGCAATATATCCGTGGACCCGAATTAGGCTTTGACTGACTTGGCAGTATATCCGTGGACTGACTCTTCAGTATATATGTGGATTCGTATTGGGCTTTGACTGACTCGGTAGTATATTTGTGGACCGACTCACCAGTATATCCGTGGACATGTATTGGGCTTTGACTGAGTCGACAGTATATTCGTGGACTGGTTCAAAGGGGCTTTGTCTAACCCCTTAGGGCTTGAGAGGGGTGGTGTTAAATACCCCCTTGAACTTGAAAACAAGTGAAAGACACTTTTCCCACATTGGAGTTGGAAAGCCAACTTGATCAACATATATACCCCATGTGCTACTCCCCTCTTTACCAATTGGTTTTGAGGTGGAACCACATGTGGTCCTATATTTAGGCGTCCAAGATGGACCACCACTCGGGATATTCTTCTTGCTTCACAAGCCTTTAAGGCAGTTATTGTAAAATTTAGATTTCCGCTTGTTGTATTACATTTTCTTCTTTATTGCTTCACCACTCGGGATATTCTTCTTGCTTCAACTTATTGTACAATTTAGATTTTTCCTTTATGTTCAATTTGTACTAAAAAAAAAAAAAATCTAAACTAAACAATATTTTTGTATAGAGGGAGTATTATTTTAATGAAAAACTATGGTTTTTTTTTAAGAAAATCAATTGAGCCAGATTTTAATTTGAGCCTACCACTTTTCTATTTTTTATCATATTTAATGTTATTTATCCGAATTAAATCTTACTATCTAAAAATATATTAAAATTTAATGCTTTGTTTATTCTGTTTCTCTCATTTTTACATCGAACAAACTAAAGTTATCCTAAAATATTCATTTATTTTATCCATGTTATTTTTTATTCCACTAACCCATTACTAACTCAACTATTAATTTTCATCATTTTAGGGCAACAACTATCGGCTTTCAGCAACATAAACTAAAAGATAAAGAATCAGCCTTTTCCACATCCCTTGTGTCAGCCATAAGGCAAAAAATGCTAATACTAGTTGCCTTCTTTCATCAACCCAGAAATAATCAATTGAGAATCAACAACTTCGCAAATTTTCTTCCTTTTATGTACTTCATTTTCAAGAACATATATTTCCCCCTTGCTGATAAAAACATGCAATATATAACTATTAAATTAAGTACTATAAAAGAATTCAACTTCACAAAGAAATCACAATATCATTGTTTAAGCCATCTTTGCATACTCCTACTTATGTGTCTCTTCAGATGAATCCAGTTGCTTTCAATCATTCAAATAGGAAATTTAATCATGTTTTACAATCCAATTTCGGGTTGATTATTACTCTTTTCTACAGTACTTTGTTATAGAAAAGTATGCCCTTCACGAAATCTAGTCTCTTACATACTCTCAACGGCTTCAGAATTTAAATACTTTGTTATAAAATATTTTCGAAGCAGAAACTCCAAAACTTTGATAGTTATCAAGAACAGGCTACAGTAGGAACTGAAAGTAACAAAATGTCAAGTAACAATAAATGTAATATACCTCCACAAAGCAGTGACTTCAGTTCCTAACAATCTCTCTTGCGTTTTTGGTAAACTAGTAAACTTATCTCTTATGTATCCATCAAAACCTGATTACATTAGAGGACAAAACAAAAGAATATCGCGCATGAAATAACTATTTGAATCTACAATTAACTAAAACAAACACCTAAGATAACTTAGGGGTAGTGTGATGTCATTACTCTCTCTGGACTATATACAAACACCTAAGATGCATATCATCACCTCAATTCCGACAATAACATCAGGAACAAAGGAGAAATAGAGACTCAAAAGTCAAAACCAATTAATAATGCAAATTAAAGCAATAAAAATCCAGTTCTAAGACAATGGATTATAGGGAAGCAAATTGAGACCAATTTGTAAAATCAAATAGTTTGCGTTGAAACAAAAAATCAAAAGCACGCACCTAAAAGAGCAAAAGGGGGAAAAATCCCTAGAACAAAATCAATTGGACAACTATCAGATAATGGGATAATCGAAAAGGCAAAGATGAACACACACAGAGAAGTTTTGCCGAAAAGTCAAACTATAATCGCATAACACCATCAACATCCACCTTGGACAGATGTGGATCAATCACGTTAAAAGAATCAATACGCCAAAATGAAAAATTAGGTTGTGTTACTCATCCCACATACTGCGGACAACAAGATTGACTGGAGATAGGAGAACATGAATATCCATTGTTAAACCTTCCATCACTGATTGTGTAATTTCCAGAAATCAAATGAAGGAAAGAGGGGCGAAAGAGAAGTAAAACGCCACAGCACTCGTGGCTAAATGAAATTGGTGAGTTTAGGGGTCACGCAGATTGTGGAAAAAGCACAACCGGTAAAATGGTTTTTCCCCCGAATTTTATCCAATATGGTTTTTTCTCACAAACCATATCCAATTAGTGTCTAACTAACTCTTAAATTTTAAAATGACAGAGGCACCGCAAAAAAATTTTGTTTTTAGTCAGGGTTCTATATAAACCCCCCAAATCCCACCAATTCTTGAAATCCAGCTTTCAATTGTTGATCAATTAGAAACGTAGAATAGTAGTACCGAATCAAAAAGAAGCTTGCAAAAGAATTCTGATGGGAAGCTGTGAAGAAATGACAATGGAGCAACACTGGGAGATGCAAAACAGGTCGGTGAAGAAGCTCTATCAGGTTGGGAAGGTTTTTTGGCCGGTCCTTGCTGCAGTTAGGAAGCTGAGGAAGAAGAGAAAGAAACCGAGCAAGGAAAGGAAGGATCAATAGTTCCCTCTGTTCACCAAATCACAGATGAAGATGTTCGTGAGACTCAAGAGGCTGTATGATGATTGGATTTTCAAAGTGGTTTGCAAGAGCTTGGTGAGGGACAAAGAGCATGAAGCTCGGGAAGCCGGATTCGAGGTAAGGGTCCCTAATGCTGTTGAGAGAAGAATTCTGGAGTATACTTTGGGGGATGGAGGTTACAACACAGTTTTTCAACTCCGCAGACTTTCAGAGTCCTTTATCAAGCAGATGGATCACATGGTCGAGGAATTTGAAACCATGAAGCTAACTATCGAGGAATCGGTCACTCTGTTGATGTTTCTCAGTTGGATGTACCCTAGTGGAATCGTCACAATGTTGTTGTTGAAGACCATGATGTGATTGTTGTTGATCAAACACACGTTCAACCTCAGCTATGATTGACACGGAGGATGAAGCTGCTTGAAGTGGATTTGGCATTTCGGTGGTTCGTGTTTCTTTTGTTGCTTTTTGTTATTATATATTTAGAATAAAACTTCATAGCATCTTTAATCATACAACTACATATCGAACAGGGATGAGTAGGAAAAAGAATTATGTTGATTTTCATCAAAGAGGTGGAAAGGAAATCTTATACATACATATATATATATATATATATATATAGATGCATATATAATTTGTTAGTTGGTTGTTTTTTTGAACCTTTGCTACTTTCTTTAATTGTAAGTATTGCATGTGATGCTGAAAAACTTAATCATCGACTACTTCTCGACTTTCTTTTCCATCCCCCAGTTGAATTTTTTTATCCCCCCCCCCCCCGGGCTTTGTTTTTGGTTTATACCTATGTTATTCTAACGTTTCTCTCTTTCTCATAACACTATGCTTCACTTGATCCTTTGTTAAAAGTACCAAAAGTTCATAAAATTTGTACAACTGGCGTGTGGGATAATTGTTCCCATGGATTTAGAGAATTGGATGAACATTAGAATACAAACAACATGATATGCAAAATCATTTCTGCGAAGAATTGTAGACCACTTTCCAAAATTTTTTCATACAAAACTACAAGAAAACCCCTGCAAAACACATGGAAACACAATATTATGCTAGGTATTAACATAGTATGGTTATTAAGACACTTCCGATAAGTCCAGTACATTCCAATGTTGCAATAGATTAATGTATTAAGAAACATTTTATGGTGACACATAGAACTATTACAATAGAGATTTCCTAAAGTGACTATTTTTTTATGCCAAACTTAAAAGATTTATTCATTTATATATCATAAAATTCATTTTCCAAAAAAGGGCTAGCAATTAGCAACATTAACATAATACGAATGGACGGGATAAGACTTCACAAAAGGGCTAGAGATTAGAGAAGAAAAAGAGGTGCTATATATATATATATACATACACATGTATATATAGATATATGTACATATAACTGAATTAATAACAAAAGTATTAACACAAACACACATACATAATTGCACTTATTACATACACGTGGACAACTATTGATTGTGAAGTTTGATTTTATCTTATTATTTTTACTACTTTTTTTTTTCCAAAATATAACTCTACTTTCTAGTTTTGTTTAAGGGTGCTCACAGTCTCGATGGTCCGGTTATTGGGCTAAACCTTGAACCATATCTTTCAAACCTTTAACAAATTTTGAAACCAAAACTTGACCAATATGCATCTAGGAAACTAACTAAACCAATCCACATTGAACGGTCCGATTTGTACGGTTTTACAGGCTGGGCCAATTTTGGGCCTTTTTATTGGGCGTAAACATAGGTCTTTTATGTTTGTTTTCAGGGTGAGAATAAGTCCTTTTTTTTAGTTTGAAACAAAAACAAAAAATGGCCCACCCATGCAAACCTCTTATAAAACTTAAAAAGTATCCACAGTGTTAACCAAAAAAAAAAGTGTTAACCATACAGAGGAAAAAGAGAAATTGTTCAACAAAACTTCGAATTCAATACTACAAAAAAGAAAATGTTAAAAAATAGAAGATTTGAACTCTTCGATCTGTTGAACATAAGATTTTGAAGAGGTCTAGATTCAAGCTTCAACACTTTCTTTTGTTGTAAGATGTCATTTCTTCCCCAGTCGACCAATTTCAACTTTCAACTGTGTATTCGAACGTAAAGATATATTCAAAAGTTAATTTACATCACTATATCATAATGGAACTAACTCAAAATTAGATATACACGAACTTTTCTTCATCATACTTACAAACATATGTCTCTTTCTTGAAGAGTTTATCCTTCTCTTCCTAACACCAATAAACATAATCATTCTTGTAACGAGAATCAAGAACCAAAGCTACATACAACACAAAATTCATTTTGTTCATATTGCTACATTGTTTATGATACTTTTTGTCATTTTTTCAGCCATAACACTCATCTCCGTATCATCAAGATTTATACAATCTACAATATGATAATGTAACAAACATATATCATGAAAAAAAAATTGTAGCAATTGACATATAAAGAACCAGAGAACCGGTTTGTCATTTCGAAAAACACATGAAGGAATCTCATAAAACATTCTTTCAAGTCACAATAACTGTCTTTAGGTGGCCGAATTTTATTGTACCATATCTTTTTTTTGTTTTTGTTTTTATTTGCCTCTTTTTCCTTCAAAGTGTCATGTTTCTTATCCTCCATTTGCTCAAAGATATTTCTCTAATTCAATGTCAACTGTAACATCAAGTAATTAAAATTTCACCTAGTAGAAATATGTAAAGGAGAAATTTCACAATCATTCAACCCCTTTATCCTAACACATTTTTATAAACTCATTCAACCTTGCAAGAGAATATTTAATATATCTTACTGCATTCCTTTTCTTTTCAGTTCATCTCTGATTTCTATTTAAAAACAACAAAAACAGGTTCACAAACCAAAAATATCCAACAAATATCAAATTACAAACTTTGAATATATATATCAAAACTCTAAAAGATCACCCTAATATGCCTAGACCTCAGTGCATCCCCAAAACTCTCAAAGACCTCAGTGTTGACTTCACCTCCATCATCAACACCACCACCCCCATTACCACCTCCCTCACTATCACCATCACCATCACCATCATCAACTCCTTTTGTCAAATAACATTGACATTAACCAGAGATTTGTTAACACCTTCCAATAAGGACTTCCTAGAAAATTCTGTCATTGCCGTCAACCTATCCAACACCTCTTTTCTTGCCTTAGAATCATCAGAATCAGCCTTTATGTATTGGCTGAATGTTGCAATAGTAGAAGCTAGTTCAACGGCGATGATATCAATGGAAGCATTTTTAATTTAGCACCCCTTGTCTCTCTTTTCATTTCATCCACCTCCTTCCTAAATTCTAAAGGAGTCATAATCTTCGCTTATTTTTTAACCAATTTTTGATTGAAAACAACAAGAGGGCGATCGTTGCGAAGATTCCTGGCACAAGCCAATTCAACCTTCACGTTTTTATGAACAATGAAGTTGAAAAATGTACAAAACTTAACAAGATCATGACAGAAAGTTTTCCATTCCTTTCTTGTAAACCTTCTCGACACGGCCGCTCTTATTGCATTCATAATAATCCTAATAACTTGGATAGAAGGATTATAAATTTGATCATAAATTACAACAAAATCCAAAACATGAGCACAACTACGCATATGCAAGTAGTCACCATTTATAACAGATTTCCCCCAATATTGAACTTTCTTTTTCATAGATGAAATAGCCCCATCTTTGGTACTTGCATTATCCATAGTAATTGTAAAAAAATCCTCTTAATACCCCAAGCAAGCAAACACTTTTCCATCATTTTTCAATTGTCTCACCCTTATGATTTGTAATAGCTTCATAATAAAGAATCATGTTTTGCAACTTCCAAGTTTTCTCAATCTAATGTGCCATTAAAATCATAAAATTAATATTTTGACAGAAAATCCATGCATCAGTGGTAAGACAAACACGTTGTGAAGAATTATAAAAATAATCATTCAATTTTTTTTTCTTCCACATATAAAGACAATGCAACTCTAACAACCGTAATAACTCAACAATTCAAATTTCGGTTGAACCACATTCATGAAGCACTGAAAACCCTCTTATTTAACAAATCTAAATAATTCTTCATCAACAATTCTCATTATAATATGTGCATTCCTACCCAATTCTCTCGTAAAATGTACAACACATATGTATCTACCTTTCCTTTTCGACTGAAAACATACATTGTGCTGTTTTTTTATCAACCTGTACTGCACTATATATTCTTGCACAATTTCATCAATTGTTTATTCATAGTGCTAGTACCATTCTTACTGCTACTTACAGAATCCTAATGCGCAATAATTTTTTGAATGAAGTGGCTAGTCTAATTAATTTTTGATAAAACAAAATCATTATATTTGCTAATGATTAGCCCTTAATTCTTTTATCACTCAAACTGGACCTTTATTCTGAAAAAGCGTAGCAGTGATTTTGTGATTTCATAATAAATTTTATTAACCTAGACTTCAAGAAAGCTGTGCCAAAAAGTTGTGCCAAAGGAATAGAGGATCATTTGACCATTTGTCAACATGTTTAGTTCAAAAGGCAAAGGATACGTTATGAATGAAACTAAGTACTATAGTCAGGCTGTTGACCTTTTCACAGAAACAGATACCACATGATGTGTTTGATTAGCCCTAATTGAGTCTAAGTATCTCAATCTAGAGAAAAGATCATTAAATTGTACTCTCCATAAAATTAGGTTTCACGCACATCATAGGTGTGCACTTTTTTCCATCCCTCATTCATGGGATAATTGATATTATGTGCTGAGAAATACTTAGGTGGAGGGAACTACCCATATATTATCTGTGTAAAACCTATAAGCATTCCCTCCGATATAATGAATTCGGAAAAGCAAGCTACAAACATTGTCTATTTCTTCATTCCAATTAAAAACATCACCGTTACCAACTGATTGATAAACATTCTTGCTTTTGTGAGGTTAAAGGTGGACGATACACCAATTTGAAGTTTCCTCTGGAGGAACAAAGGAGTGTCTTCTACTAGATGGTTGCAGAAAAAGTGGTCAGCTTTCTTGGTTATTACGTTGTGAAGCAGAAATGGAATATAAAATCAGATCCGGTCTTTTTCACTTCTGAACTGTCCTGTAATCAGCTTGAGCTGCATAATAGATCTAAACTGGTTCGATCTACAATGGACTGAGCCAAACTCCCTTGAGTTCCTTGCCAAAGATGATGTAAATGGTGTACCAAAATGCCTACACGGAAGGTTCCTCATCATCCAAATCAGAAGAGCTCATCCTCCCTCCCAAATTCTCCTCTGAGCCGACGATGTGGTTTAACCAACTCTTGGAGCAACAAATACTAC